GTACACTGTTATATCTTCGTCTGAATATTGAGAATAATCTTGGATACACATCACACCCTATGTTCATGCTTCGAGTCCCTTCAGCAGTAGGATCTTCCGGGTTCTGCTTCAAGCAGCGTTTACACAAATAACTTACATCAAATCAAGTATGCCGGCGAGACTACACATTTACAAGAGACCCTTCAGTGGTGATTACGAAGGGTTTGTGGAATACCTTTCAGTCGGAATCTACGTGGCACTAGTGCAAGAGGAGGTATTCAAGAGGCGATCCTGGGCAAGCTTTCACCCGGATCATCTGTAGCACATCGTAGAGCTCACAGAAGGCCTAGTCTTCAACTCACCCATGCTTCTGGAATGGATATCTCGAACCTGTCAAAGATATGCTTGCTGATGGAACCCCGCCAGGTCCAATTACACAAAGGACCCTGAGTGGAGGCGGCAGCACGCGCACGGCCGCGACTGTCCACGATGACCCTTCCACGACCTCGTCTAAGTCATGCCGTCTCCGCTACGTCCCTGGGTCAAGTCGCGAATGCCTTCAACCCACGAACCGCCAGCCTGTGGAGGCGTCCGCGGGCTGCACGGGCCCGTTCTTGAAATAATTCGGAGAAGTTCCGCTGTCGGGCATCATACGGATAGCGCAACAGTCGTCTGATGGATCATGGTTCCATGCCGGGCCGACCAGGGCCAGTGCGAGAACGATGAAAGACGCGCCGCTCCCCGAACGGATTTGTCAACTCGGCAAGAAACATTCTAAGCTCCGGAAGGGATACCCTCTCTTTTCGGTCGGCTGAAGGCAAGCACTGGGCCGCCCACCGTTCCGAGTGGCCGCCGTTCGCCGACATGTGCTACTGTGCAATCGGCAACGTCGCGGCAGTCGCTACTATTCGAGTCATTGTGCCTCCTCGTGGCCGGCATTCCCAAGCGCAAGATTGAGCGCCGGGTGATGTGCACACCATGGTACGCAAGCTGCCTTGTACCGCAGTAGGCCAGGATCCGGAAAATGGATGATGCCTGACCAAGCACTCAATCAGCTCAACGGAGCCACGTTCGGCGCAAACGCTCTGACAGGTCGGGCAGGGTGGATCGCGGTGCGACGTTGTTGCCATTGCCCCGTGCAAAAAACGCGGACATTGAAATGGGTGTAACGGCCAGATTGGGCGAAAGGCCCAAGAGGCGGGCAGTTCGCGATTAACCCATGGCTGGTCATTGCATCCGGAGATAGCCGCGGAAGAAAAATGAAGAAACAAACACGCGAAAATGTTTCTCTGTAAGCATGCGGGCAGGTCGGCAAAAGACTGTCCATCTTTTTTTCTCCGTTTCCATTAAATGTTTCAACTCCCTGGCCTTGGGATCCGAGGAGCGGGGACGAACTCGTCCGCCGCGTGGTGGGCTGCATGAAACGGTGTACATCTGGGCAGACGCGATAAGGCATGACATAGGAAGTGGGATAGCCTGAATTCTATCTTTGAATACCGTATTGGGAGCTTGCGATCGTTGTCTCGGATTAGAGCAGAGAGACGCATGTGCAGCTAATGCGGCATTGCGGACTCTACTTTTCGGATGGAAGCAGACGGCGGAAAGAAAAAGCAAGTTGTGAATAGGGGTGACCTGGCAGCGTCTGGCGAGGGGTGGTCGCGGAAGGTTGAAGAGGGAGAGGGAGGCAGGCCAAGGGACCGCGCCCAAGGTTCAAGGGTCGTGGTCGTGGGGATCACTGCTAGCGGGCTGCACGCGAGGAGATTCGAGATGGGGCTGCTTTCCCAGTTGGGAATCCAATGTTTCTCGCTTGGGTTGTGGGCTGGAAACGCGAGCATTTAGCCAAGATGAAGATGGCATGGGCTCGGTGAGGTTGACTCGCACCGAATATGGTCGTGTAACGAGCAACGAGGCAATAAGAGGGAGAGCAGTGACGATGGCGACAAGACAGAGAGAGAGGTTCAATGTGTCCGAGGCAGCCACGCAGCCACACGCGGTCAACGGCAGGCGGCCTCGCCGCGGGTGGACGGGAATCTGGAAAAGCTGGATCGGCAACGGAGGGGGAACGTTTGACGTTTGTTGGAAAGGCGGCGCGTTCGCAATGCGGCCTCCTTGCCTCCCTCGTGCGTAACCCCCCGTCTGCGGCAGAAGCCCTGGCCGGCTTCCATCGCTGAAACGGGAATTTCTGGTGCCACGGCTGGGCGCAACGGTTCCTGACGGCGCTGGTCGGGTTGGCGTCCTCTCAAGAATGGCACGCCCATTGAGAGGGACGGTCGCACGTCTCTGTCAGGAAGGTTTGCCAGGTCGTTGGACGCGGGCTGACAACCGGATTGCCGGGGCAGGGTTGATCGGGCTGGGTGGTGAGGTCTGCTTGGTCGAGGTGCGTGGGCGCGATCTGCTAGCTCAGGAACGGTTCCAAAAGATGGTGGTGGGACTTGCATAGGAGGTGGGCGGTGCTGCTGTGACACGGGAGCGACGTCTCTGAGGGAGAGAACTTGCAAGACATCTCAGGTCAGGCAAGCTGTTTGCCGAGTTTTGGGGGCTTGGGTCGTTTGGTCGAGAGAGAGGAGGAGAAATGCTCGTGTCTGGGAGATGATGAAATTGCTCTGCGAACGGGTTCGGAGGAATGGAGGTGAATAAGATAAGGTGATATTGTCGAGGTGCGTGCCCTATCAGAAGCAATCAAAGATATCGAGGCCCCAGAGCAGAATTCCAGGCATGGCGGGCGTGACGCTGTGCCGCGCCAGCGTCCAGCCCAGGTACCGTGTTAAGAAACTTGTTGCGCAGTATCCATAAGGTGCGCAGTAGTACTGTAGCTATTCCTGGGTGAGGTCGGGTGCGCTGAGATTGAGAGGCGAGAGGGTGTCTTGTAGATTGTGCTAGTGCAGGTTCACGGACAATTTCCTGCAGGCCGTGTTTCGGTGCATCTTGGGAGCTGGTTTCTCTGCATGTCAGTGGCTGCGACGGGCAAGCTTTCGTGGGATTTTGGTGCTGACTGCCGCGGCATAAATATGGATGATGGATGCAGGGCATCTGGGCATCCACCATTTTGATGGTTGACGAGGGTGAGGGCGCTGCAGGGACAGGCTCTGTGACTCGAGTAGCAGCGCTGATCATGCTCGATGTTTGACATTTGGGAGTGTTGGGATGGGCGGTGGTGGAAAATAGCAGTGTTTAGGAAGTCGATAATGCGAACCTTGTTGCGTACATTCTGTCTGGCAAGACTATGCAAGTTTATGTAAGCCATTAATGCAACGAATGCCTTCACTGGCCAGTGTTGCTGGCGATGTCCATCTACTGCTGCTGCTGCTACTACTTCTGCTGGAGGCAAGAGCACAGGCAAGTGCCTCCCGTCCTTGAATCCTTCCTGCCTGCCATTCACGTCCGTTTCGGTGACTCGGTGTCGGTGTCGTGTCAGTGTCACTTTCCGTCCTTGGTCCCCAGATTGAGTGGCTTGACAGGCGCACCTGTGCTTTTTTCCCTGCTGCCCGTGCGTGCCCTTCCATGGTCAATGTGCCCTTGGTAGGCCCATTTCCCGGAAGCCCCTCCACTGAATTTTCCATTGTTGGGCAGCTGCTCCTCAGCCCGTACAAGAGGAGGTATCGCGAGTCCAGACCTGCGCCTCGTCTTGATGCGTGGCATTTTGCAGTGTCTTCCCAACGACCGACAGCCCAGCTAACAACTACCCAATCAACTGGAGGTCTCGGGTTATTCCACCACCTCGCACAGCAGCAGACACCGCGTGCGCTCTTGTACTCACTTCACTTTCTTCTTCCCGTGCGCGACAGACCTCTAGAAAAACAATTACAAGGCTCACCCCTGACAATCACTGCATCCACTGTCGGGGAACCACCTGGCACTGACAAACACAGGGTGCTGGACCCCTGCAGTACATCTCAAATCCACTGGACCCGACTCCAACAGGCCAGGTCCCCCAATCCAATTGGATCCCTTCCCATCCCATCAACGTCCCATCCCAATCCCAATCAGCCATTCAATCCACGTCAAGCAACGCGCACCAGCACCAAGAGTGCCACCAAGCAAGACCAGCACCAGCACCAGTCCTCGCTCGCTCGCTCGCACCAGCCAGAGAAACCGCACTACGAAGCTCATTTTTCATTCCCCTACGTCCAGGTCCAGACTCCTACGCTGCCAGGCATACTCATTGCCAGTCAGGGCCCCCGTCACCTCTCACTTCCATTCATCATTCCCACCACCCCCGGGCCTGTTTTTCCTGCTTGGCTTTTCTCTCCTCTCGCCGTCTTTCCTCTGGGAGCCTTCGCTGCAATTACACGGTTCCGCGTCCCTTGAAACGTGGAATATCGAACATCGATCTCCAAGACGCACACATTGCCGTATTCTATGGCCTCGTACTCGACTCGCATTCAATACCTTAGCGGGCTGATACGACCGCTCCAAGAGGTCTAGCACAAATATCAAGCCCACCGGAATCACTTCGACCGAACCTGCTGCAGTACCCTGCGACCTGCATCCAACTGTATACATACATAATACGAGTGCCGGGTACAGACCACGCGGTATCCATCCGTACACTACGAATTCACTGCGCATCGCTGCTGGTCATTTTACTACGCCACCGCAGCTCAGAAAACCCTTGGACAAGAAGTCAATCTCGCTCCAGACGTGCCCTGCCGTCTCTCAATCTCTCAAGAGTCGACGACCTCAACTGCCGCTGCGCCGTATCCATTCTTTCCCAAGGTCCACCGCCTACCCTACCCAGCTCCATCTCTGGGTCGCTCCAGCCTCTCGCTCTCCGCTGTCGACGTCGCCCACGCCCATCCGCATCCACTGCAACTGGGCCCTGTACAACTCCCCTTGTTCCGTCCAACGACACACGCCACGGGGCGAACCGCACTGCCTTGTCACGCGTTCGTCTGGCTGCCCGCTGGCGGATCCTGCAAACCTCGTCTTTCAAACAGGCCCATTGACCCTCAACCTTACCTTCTACAAGTACAACATACCGTCGATTGATGACACAAGCTGTTCATCCCGCGCCCTTCACCATGCCTTCTTCCAAGCGATTCGAGCTTCCCAAGCTCGACTTCAAGTTCGGCTCCCTGACTGACGGAACCGACATTCCCCCGCCGCTTCCCAGCCCCGTCCAGGAGGTCCCCACGCCTCCCCAGACCCCGCGTGCGAGCGAAACCAAGGACTCCGAACCCGCCGTCAAGGGAAAGGTCAATGACAAGACGAATGGCCACGGCCCGGCAGTGCCAAACTCGCCGGCCACCACCAATGGTACGAGAGGATTCTCAGATGACACGCCACTTTCTCCAGCAGTCTCAAGCAGACAGGGCAGCATTCGTCGTCTCTTCAGCCGAACATTACTGAACCAAGCATATGCAGAGGGCGAGTCGCAAGCGAACGGTGGCGTCCCCCGCCCCATGAGCCGTAGCCAGGGCAGCATTGTCGACGAGAAGAAAGCGAAGCGCAGCAGCGGGTGGTTCAAGAGGCTCAGGTCGCACGATTCTTCACCGCCCCAGAAACGCTCCAGCGTCGTATACGAGCACCCCAACAACAGCCAGACGCAGAGCCAAAGTCGGCCCCAGAGCAGGCCCCAAGTTCAGGGCCCCCCGCCGCCCATGATTCCCGAGCTGACCGCACTCGACACCAAGCTCGACCTCTCAGACGGAGGCAGCCTGGGTTCTGACTTGTTCAAGAACATTAAGTAATTACTGACTCGGAGCGGACGCGACTCCAGACCAGTCAGGAACGATATATACAGAGTTACCGGTTTCTGGAGCTGGCAACCGGTGCTTTGTCGGACACGAACACACCTATATGCGCCGACGAGCGAACGACCGAATCCGAGCGGACACACCAACACGATTTTCCTAGCGTTTACCTAAGTTGAATTCTTTTCGAGTCAGAGCTGGGGACGGAGATGGCGGTGGAGGAGACGAGATAGTATGTGAGACGGAGGCAAGACTGGAAGAAGTTATGCAAGATACCCAGCTCGCACCGCGGGCTCATTCTGACATACGATGTTTACACTTTCTTTGTTATGTTTGATTTTTCGCTTCATCTTATTGCGCTGTTGGAACACACTGGCACCACGACCACCATTTTTTCAAACTCCCCGTCCTGTTTTTCCTTGCTGTACGACTTATCTTCTGGTGTACATGTTGAGCCGGTGGTTTGGTGTGAGGACTGGCGGTTGAGAAGGGGCCGATTTCAGACTATGAACCAGGCATCAAAATAATGCATCAAATTGGAGCAGTCAGACCGAAGGACTGAGGAGGCGGATGGAATCTGGGGAGGACGCAGACGAGGAAGGGGCGTCCCAACTACTACAGCTGGGAGCGTCATCTTGTTTGAGAGCTCGAAACGAGTTTTCAGGTGCCGCTGGTGGCTATGGCAACTGCAGCTGCAATAAAATCTACATTTTACGGCCTACAAGCAGTTTCACAATCGGCTTTGCTGCTGGTTACATCTTGATTCCCGAGGGTTGTCCTTGGAGGCACGCGATCTGATCTGGATCACAGGATCTTGTGTTCAACGCCAGTAATCATGACACAAGAAAGACTCATCAATATCGCTCGTCACAGCTTACATCGGCTCATGATCACAGCAGCAATCACGAAGAAGAGGACACAACGAACCCCGCGTCATCCGAAGGACGCATTGACCCCTCGATGCATCATGTGTGGCGAGAGGCTTGCAGCTGCAGGGCGATTTAGCGCAGAAATTCTTTGCGTGGCAAGTCGTTGGAGATGCTGCGGGTGCTGCTGTCGCTGCCGTCGGCGTCAGGACAAGTCACTCTGCAGCTGAGCAGCCCGGTCCAGTCGCCGTCCGGAATGGCGCCAACTTCGGACGCCATGTCAGGCCTTACCCGACCTGGGACGTCCGGAGCGTGCACCGCAGCGAGGAACTGTCACTGCCGGCGCCGGTCATTTTGCCGCCTCAGAGAGCTGCAGCCCACCACCCAGCTAGAGCCGTGAGGTGGGAGCTTGAGCCAATGGCGGAAACAACGGGTCCCTTTCCCTCCTCCGCGCTAGCCAGTGGCTGATTCGTGCACCGGTCGCACCTGGGTAAGGTACCAACCCAAACAAACGTCATTGTGAGTTCGCCAGAGGTTCGGCCGGCCGGGTCCAGTTACCGAGCTAGTGCCGTGCGCCGGGAGCTTTTTTTTGGAGCAATCCTTCCTCCCAAACCTCGAAAGTTGACGTCGTCAACGTTTTGACAGCTGTCACTGTAGACCTTGTTTTCCCTTTTCGCCTCCACAACTGACAACCATGGCGACGGGCTTGCGAACGACGACGACGCTCCGTCCGCTGGCGTCTGCGCTGCGGCCGGCGCAGTACCTGCCCCGCGTCGCACGACGATACAAGTCAGGGCCGTATGGCTACACCCAGGCCAAGGCGCTGGTCTTCTCGAAAGAGGGCGAGCCCCGCGATGTCCTGCAGTACGGACGCACCACTTTATGCGAAGCCGTGATACTCGAGCTGACGAGCTGCACAGATTGCACACCCACTCCATCTCCCCGTCGATCCCCTCCTCCGCCGTCCTCCTACGCGCCCTCGCCGCCCCGATCAACCCCGCCGACATCAACACCGTCCAGGGCACATACGGCTCCAAGCCCCCCTTCACGTCCCTGATCGGCACCCCCGAGCCCGCCGCGATCCCCGGCAACGAGGGCGTCTTCGAGGTCGTCTCCGTGGGGTCCAAGGACCTCGGCCTGCAGCGCGGCGACTGGGTCATCCCCGCGGCGTCCTCCTTCGGCACATGGCGCACCCACGCCGTCGCGGAGGCCAAGGACGTGATGAAGGTCTCGAAGGAGGGCCTGACGCCCACGCAGGTTGCCACCGTCAGCGTCAACCCGTGCACGGCGTACCGCATCCTCCGCACCTACGGCCCCGGCGAGATCAAGGCGGGCACCAACGGGGGCATGAATGCGCTTGAGCCGGGCCGCGGCGGGTGGTTTATTCAAAACGGAGCCAACAGCGGCGTCGGCCGGGCTGCGATCCAGCTCGGAAAGCTCTGGGGGCTGAGGAGCATCAATGTCGTCAGGGAGCGGGAGACGGAGGCGGAGACGGAGACGCTGAAGAAGGAGCTTAGCGACCTCGGCGCCACGGCCGTGGTCACGGAGAAGGAGTTCCTGGCGAGGGAGTGGAGGGACCAGCTCAAGGAGCTGACGAGGGGCGGCCGCGAGCCCGTCGGTCTGGGACTGAACTGCGTCGGCGGCAAGTCGGCGACGGCCATCGCGAGGAGTCTCGGCGAGAGCGGCACGATGGTGAGCTACGGCGGCATGGCGAAGCAGCCCGTCATGCTCCCCACCGGACTGCTCATCTTCAAGGACCTTAGGTTTGTGGGATTCTGGCTCAGCAAGTGGAACGAGCGGGATCCCCAGGGACGCAAGTTTGCGATTGAGGACGTGCTGGGCATGATTCGCGAGGGCAGGTTCAAGGATGTGCCTGTGGAGGAGGTGCCGTGGAGCTGGGAGACGGAGGCTGAGAGCCTGAAGCAGGCTGTTCAGGGGGGACTTGGTGGGTTCAGGAAGGGTAAGGGTGTTTTTGTCTTTGGAGAGACATGATGGGAACGTGTATATGTAGGATATCATGAGGTGGTGTAGATAACTCCCAATGACGAGAGGTTCATGTGGACATTAGCTACGATTGTTGTTGTGGTTGACATGCCTGACGGCGGATGGCAGGGCGGACATCTTAGAGACAAGAGAAAGAAGGTTTCCTGTTGTAGGATTAGGTCAACATGGCAGGCTTCGTTCGACCTTGAATACAAGATTTACAAACCGTCTGTAGCCATCATTCTTATTTTGGACTGCCAGGCTCTAGGCGGTCGCCAGCTAAACTTCGGGAACGCAGAACACGTACATGCCTACGTTGTAAAGGTCGCTGTCTCAATGTTTGTAGTCTTCTTCTTACGCCAATTGCAGACTAGGAAGTCATCCCGGTTTACTTCGGAGTTCAACGAGGCAAATAATGCGCAACTTCAAGATGGCTGAAACAGTGAACAGTCTCACTTAGCCTCTTGTCTTTCAAGTCACGCGACATCATCTGCGTCTGCTTGTTCTACATGGAATACTACAAAGGGGGCATGCGCAGGTTTGGTGACTGTGGTGCAGTATGAGCTTTGTTTGCATGGCGTTTGCTTTAAGGCCCCTTTGTAGACCCCATTCCTGGAGGAGTTGAAGTTGGGTAGTTGGTGACTTTACATTGCCTGACTGAACGACTGCTGGGGAATTATCGATGAGTTTTATAGATGTTGTTCTTGCTGGGTGGGCCATGAAACTTCCTCGGCATAGACCTCGAGAGACAACAACCGCTCGTTTACCCTCGACTTTCTGGCAAAGCCCAACCAGGCAATGCAATCGGCGGCTTGATTGTTGTCAGGGAACGACAAGATGATTCACCCACAAGGGCAGAGTTTGCAGCCAAATCCATGATGTTTTGCGTTCATTTCTGGAGCATATAGTATTATGTAGTTGTTGTCCATCGTCATTGCTATCTATTGATTATGCGTCGTGATTATCTAGACTAATCTCTCTTCCCTTCTAACCTTTCTTCTTCGCAGTTCTCCTAATGCCATCACATTGCAAATACTAAGGGGGTCCCAGCGATCTTTACAGCCAAGCCTGGTCTAAGGGGATTCAAGTTCTTCGGTTCAGCGACAGAAACCCCGAGAGCGGGTATGAGGTTCTCGATCTGGGCGTCTGGATAGTCGGTTAGTGAGAAGTTCAGGCACGCGAACATGAAGGAGTACATACCGGAGAGATCCCAGAAGTCCTTTGCCGTCAACGGAAAATCGCAAATCTCCTATCCAGTTCGAACATCTAACAAGGCCTCTAATGTAGTAAGGTGTGGCTTGAATTGGTTATTGAGTATCGACTGCTCGTTCCGGCTTCTGCGCTCGTCGTTGAGAGCGCTGTCGCAGTTTTGTCAGTGAGATAGAGATTGAAGAGAATGAGGTGCGAACCTAATCGAGGAGCTGATATTCATGACTTCCATATTCGCCTCGAGTTCATCGCCAGTGGAGCGGGTATCCTTGAGTTCCGAATTGACGTCGTCACGAAAGGTACACAGATTGTTCGAAGATTTATCTGCGCATTTTGCAATGCGATCTACGAGGGCCTGGATTGCTACCGTCATGTCCTACATTTGCTTTCCATTTTCCTCGAGTATTTTTGCGCATTCGGTGAGGGAGTGACGAAGTGCAATCAATTGATTTTCAATGACGTTGAATTGTATTGAAGCAGCGGGATCTAGACGGTCCAGTGGCTGTGTCAAGGGCTCCAAGGAAAATCCATGGAAGCCATGTCGGCGTCGTGCAAAGGCGTGAGTGGTGATGATTGGATGCTGGTAGCAGGGATGAAGATTGTGAATGTTGTGTAGTTCCAACAAGTCGAGGAAGTCAGGGTTAATAGCTGGAGTAGCAAAGAAGAGAAGATGGTGTTGGCGATGGTAGCCAGAAGAGATGTTGAGGGGAAACGAGGGGGAAAACGGTTGTGGTCAGCCTTTTGATCGGATGTAGCAGCCTAGAGAAGGACCAAGGTTGCTAGCCTCGAAGGTAACTTATTCGAGAAGGACCAAGGTTACTGTGAACTTAGCATAGAAACTGCGAACCATATAGCCAGGGGGCGATACTTGGCCGCTAACTTTTAACTGCTTACCATCCAGATCGCAAAATAACCTGGAAGAAACCGAATGAAGGCAACCTGGAAGGCTTCTATTTCATGTTAGGTAGGCAGTGGATGGTGTTGTGTTCAACCTATCGTGAAAATTGGTCTCTTTCACACTTACGCGCATATCAAAATTACCTACGTACTCTTTTCGTCCATTCCGTTTCCCAAAATCACTAGCGTAAACGATCATGCCAGTTCAAGTCACATCCCAAGCCATTAGCCCTGCGTCAAGGTGATCGGAAGGGCGACTCACCCAAGGATTCTCAATGACCTTTGTAGCTTTGGTTTCATTTCTCCAAAAACGCACCACCAGTCATGGGGTCAAAGAAAGCTCCTTCGTATGACATTTACAACGCTCCTAGTGATCTTATACGAGATCGGCGTCTACAGATTTGCTCGGCTCGGTCTAGAACCAGAAGCTGAAATGCCCACGGAGAAAAGAGCGGCCAACGTCAAGCTTTCGCAGTTTGTTCCGCAGTTGTTCAGCCTTGTCGCTGTGGTATTCGTTAGGATTTGCTCGGTCTATAGGTTTGTGGTTCTGTCCAAGAAAACAACGTGCCCTAGCCGTCGCAATTATCCGGCCGCGATGGGGCCATACGGGACGTGACGCATCGATTGCTCACAAGACCACTGGCCGATTCAGTCCCTAGCGTTCCTGACAGCATCGCTGGCAGCACTTAAAACGAGTTCCTCAAGTATCTTTAATACGGACCTTTCCGATTGCTAGGGTTTTAGTATAGAGTTATGCTAGTCAGACAGTATCATTCAGCTATCTGGGCAGTGTCCATACACGCGTATGTAATCCATAGCCTGTCTCTAAAGTAATTATACCTCCTATTCTCGCTTTTATTATCGCTATTATATATTATTGCTATCTATTATTATTATCATTGTTGTTGTTATCATCGTTATCGTTATTATTGTTATCGTTATTGTCGTCGTCGTCGTCGTCGTCGTCGTCGTCGTCGTCGTCGTCGTCGTCGTCGTCGTCGTCGTCGTCGTCGTCGTCGTCGTCGTCGTCGTCGTCGTCGTCGTCGTCGTCGTTGATATCGTCTATTGATCGTTATTATCCTTATTATTCCTTCTATTATTCTCTCTATAATTACAGATCATATGGAACACTGCCCGGATAGCTAGCTAGATGACACTGCCCAACTAACAAAACTCTTAGTCCAAAAGAACGACGAGGCGCCAATTCCTTGGATTCATCAATGATAGGATCTCGTGTTTTTCATCTCGATCTTGAGAAACTAAGAATATCGTTGACGAGTCTGAAGCGTCCACTCAGAAAAGCTCGATTCAGCGTGGGTCTCTGGTTTGTTGAAGACGAACTCGAGCAGGTATAATTCTAGACCATCGAGAGTGATGGACGATCATCTCAACGCTCGACACACGCACACTAGGAGAGAAATCCTGAGTAGAGTGGATTCTCAAAACGGAGCTTGTGACATATAAAGCATTGGTGCCCGTCGCTACTGGACTCTCCGGCAGTGATGGTCACACCCATTTCGTTGGCTGGCGGCCACCGTACCGTATCGTCCTCACTGAACATATACACCGATTCTGTAGGCAAATACAGTTCTTTCAACGTCACGCGAGGCACTTCGAAGGGACTTTAGATTCGTATATATAGACCAAATATGTTCAAGTTGTTTTGATTACAGAATTAAGAAGTGGCACCGACGAAAAGTTCCTCGTTGACCAGAAATATGTAATGCGACCAGGAGGTGTACCGCCACTCACGACCCACCCCTTGTTGTTCAGTCAGAGTCAGAGTCAGAGCCCTCAGAACTGGACTGAAAACCACTGAATTCGGCGTCGTCTTCATCCTCGTCCTCGGATTCGGCCTCATATCTCACCCGCGAGTTAAAACGGTCGACGTCTCGTTGATGATGATCAAACTCTGCAAACAGCTGCCGGCTGCCCCCCGAAAAGCCATCATCACCATCGCCTAGCTCTACCACCTCCTGCGGTTGTGAGGATGAAGGGCGTTCCATCTCAGAGTCCTCGGCTTCCTCTGTGGCTTCGGGGGACGTTGCCGAATTCTCATCAGGCGAGGCATCGCCGCCCTCGTCTTCCTCTTCTTCATCGTCTGCCTCGTACTCATCGTCTTTCTCGCCATTGCCCGCCTCGGTGGTATCCGGCTGCTCGCTCTCAGCCTCTTGCTTAACTAACCATGTTGTCAGCGTTCCCCGGCCTTTCTCAGCGCGTCATCCCACATACCAGACCGCGCTTCATATTCGGCTTTGTGAGCCCTGTTGGCGCGCAAACTGGCGTCGAGCTCCGCGTCTTTCCCGTTGTCGATGCCGAGGACATGTGGGTGCCATTCCTCTCCAGTGTCCGCATGGAGACAGCTTACTGTGACCAGTCCACCTCTAGCCTCGTGAACATCAGCCCAGTCACGGGTCATTGTGATGTTCGGGACGGGTCCGAGGGCCTCTCGTGGAGTCCTTTTACGGCCACCTGCTGCCAGCACGTCTTTGACCCAGTCATGGGGCGTGAAGCAATCGTCGTTGGCGAAGTAATATAGCTGTGCCTGCTTCACAGCCACAATCAGTAGGTCCTTTCTAAAACCTTCGATTTCGCCAGCGATGCGTTCCGAGACTCTGTCATGACAGTCTTGCACAAGTCGTGCCAGCGTGTAATCCAGGCCGTAGTCTAGGAACTTCTGGTATGGGTCCTGGAAATGGTTGGCGCGTTCGTAGTTCTCCCGGAGACACTCCACGATGCGCCAAAAGTCCCACGCTTCATCGGGGCTCTGGTTCTCAATACTCCAAAATGCGACTTTCCTAAAGTAGTCGCTCCAAGGGCTTGCAGGCTGGGACGGACGGATGGTTCCGCGGAGGCTGATCACTCTCGTCAACCACAGCTGCTTGATCGCATGCTCCTCGTTG